AATAACGATTCAAATTTTAACTTGTGAAAATTATTTGGGGATTTGAAAATTTGCAGAGGGAAGACATAGGAAACAAATCCTATGAGGAGGCCGTTGAAGCTCTGAAGAAACTCCTCAGGTATTGTCTACCTCAAAATAATGTAGTAACATCCTCATATATATATATATATATATATATATACTTTTTTAGAGGTTCATAGTGCAATTTAATTATTTTACTAAATTAAAATTTCATGATTTTTGAGGTACTAAAGTAGAAATTATACTAATTTTGAGGCCAGTGACACTAATATTTTTCGGAATCGATCTCAATGTTTTATTTTAGGGAAAACACCTTTAAGATTTTGCACAAATGACCATTTTGATATTTTTTTTTGAAAAATTTTAACATCAATAATTTATTTTAGAACAAAAAGATTCATAATTTGTAACGGGAAGACTTTTCGCCCCAAAATAAAATGTTAGAGTCAAAATACTAAAGAAAGCCAAAATCACTATTATTTTATTGCCCTCTCTCGGTTCTCAAGGCTTTGTCATGACTAATCCAGATCAATCCAGACCAACTCATGTTGTACGCTTGATTTTGGTTGGTGAGTCTTTCAGCGGAGAATTTTTTTATACACAATACCTCAAACTCAGAACCTACTTAAGCGATATAAAATTGTTTACCACTTGAATCAAAGCTTAATAACAAAATTTACCGTTCAACGTTTGCACAAAATTACCACTTTACCCCTATCCTTTTTTTTTAGCATTTTAGTCTCCAACATTTTATTTTGGATCTCTATTGATCGACTAATTCAGATCATGTACTGCAGTGGCAAGGGCGACCCTCCTAATCCAGTTTATTCTATTCGCAATAACCAGGATTCGAACCCCTAACATTGCTTAAGAAATCTAATGACTAAACCAATATTAACAATATATTTTTCTTATACATTCTTTAATTTTATAAATTTCATATCGTTTTCATTTGATTGTAGGGAGAAAGAAGTGAACGGTGAAGTAGCTGGGAGAGTTGATGAACTAACAGCATCGTTAAACGCAACATTATCAGCTGATGGGGTACCAAATGCCTCTGTCGACAGATTGAAAGAAGGTTTCGTTTACTTCAGGAAAGAAAAATACGAGTAATTCACTCTTCGCCCCCTTCAATTTTCATCAAATTCTCTATCGGTTTCACTGAATATCTTGCAAATCATCCTTGTTTTGCAGTAAGAATCCTGCTTTGTATGGTGAGCTTGCCAAGGGTCAAAGCCCAAAGGTATAACAGAATGTCGAGTTCGAATCGGTTTAAGCTCTGGTTATAGTTTACTGGCAAAAGGGCATTTGAAGTACTGTATTCAAAAAAACAAAAACAAATGTGACCCTTTAATGTGACTCTCTAGCTCAGAAAATAAATCTAATGTGACATTTTGATCAACGTTTTTTTTCGTTGACCGTTATGGTGCTGATATAACAATTCATGGTGTTGGAAGGACAGTCCACACATAGAGGACTACATGACAGATGAGTTAAATTGATAACTCAAACATGGTAGATAGATTGTCATGTCAACACCGTAACGGTCGAAGACGAAAAACGTCAGTCGAAGGGTCACATGGGTTTGTTTCCTGAGTTGGAGAACCATATTGAGAGAAAAAATAATACGATGGTCACTTTTATATCTTTTTTAAGTAGAAGGACTTCTGATGCATTTTTACCTAGTTTATTTTGAGCCTACTAAGTGTTTGAATAAATGCTTGCAGTATATGATTGTTGCCTGCTCAGACTCCAGGGTCTGCCCATCTCATGTGCTGGACATGCAACCCGGGGAGGCTTTTGTGGTTCGAAACGTTGCTAATATGGTGCCACCATATGATCAGGTTCCTTTCAGACCCAATTTTCACGGCTGCTGATATACACACACATACATTTTGATGTTGCTGACTCTTTGTCCATGTTATATGGCAGACTAAATACGCCGGAATAGGATCTGCTATCGAATATGCAGTTTTGCATCTCAAGGTGGAGTGTTCTATGTGACTTTCGAGTTAAAACAGATGGTACATTGCGAGTTTTAAGTTGTAGGACATAAACCCGTATTTGTTGCACACTTCTTATAGGACGAAACCATAAGACTTTCGAGTTAAAACAGATAATACGTCACAGGTTGCAGTCTCATGCCAATGAAAGTGTTGATTTCTTTCATGTAGGTACAAGAGATTTTGGTGATTGGGCACAGTGCCTGTGGTGGAATCAAGGGGCTCATGTCTTTCCCATACGACGGAACCACCTCGACGTAAGGCCTTGAGGAGGTTGTTTAAGAGAAAATGATGGGTACTATGAAGTAAAATTTAGTCTGATTCGATTGAGATTTTTTTACAGTGATTTCATAGAAGATTGGGTTAAGATTGGACTGCCTGCTAAGACCAAGGTGCTAGCTGAACATGGTAGTGAGCCTTTTGGAGGTCAATGTGCACACTGTGAGAAGGTAAAAACCTCAAAACTCGGCTCCGAATTCAAGTATTATTGTAGTTGATTCATGAAGTTATCTTTATAAAATGGAATACGATAGATACGGAATTCGAAATTATAAAATTATAAATGAGGGAACGGCTCAAGATCACATAGGTTCAACGAGGAACTAGTAGCTCTTTCAGTCTGGCACATTCCCAAGAACTAGTGATTCAATGAACTGAACAAGAACGGTTCAAGATCACTCGGGCTCAATGTGGAACCAATAGCCCTTTTAGCCTGGCACATTGCCAAGAACCAGGGGTTCACTGAACCGAAAGATAATGGTTCAATGGCTTGAAGGTCACAATTTGGCTATGCTAAACAACTAATGGGGTGCATTTCATTTTTTTCTTCTTCAGGAAGCAGTGAATGTATCACTTGGCAACCTGCTGAGTTATCCATTCGTAAGAGATGGATTGGTGAAGAAAACTCTATCCGTCAAGGGTGGTTACTACGATTTCGTCAACAGAACTTTCGAGCTATGGAGTCTTGAGTTTCAGCTCTCAAACCCTCTCTCTGTATGAAAACACCACCATCTCCATCACACCATCATTGACACCATCTTTGTACTTAATGTCTTGTTTCTTAATAAGTTGTTACAATAAATGCATATATCTATGAGATAGAGATCACTGGGAATTCTCATAGACCTATGAATTTCTCATTTAAGCATACTTCCATGTAACTTCATTCACTGCCATCTTTGTTAGGTAAAAGATGTGTCCACAATACTCCATTGGAAGCTCTACTAGGAACCATAAGCTTAAAGATCACCATCACAGCAAAGATGAGGCTTCGAATCGTCGACTGTTTTACCCTCTTTTCTTATGATTTGCTGACATCATAATCCGAATTCTGAACCGAGCTTTGTAGATAAGACAGTTTCAAGAACTTGGATGCTTTTGACTATTTTACTAAATGTTTCGGTTCATGTTCTTTAGCATAATATCTAGCTATGTAGCTTTTCAGGCTCTAGTTAGAGTGACACAATTCTGCTAAGAACATTATCGTGCTCGTGTCTAATTTCGTGTCAAGCTTAAGTTTCGAATATAATTACTCGAAAGAAAAGAAAAAAAAATAGGGTAACTTAGCTTCAAATTGAATTCTCAATGGGTCATTTTTGACCCACCATTAAGGAGAGTTGTCTTGTGTCAATGGTAGCATAGAGATTAGGTAAAATACTTCAAATAGTAAAACACAGTTGGCTTTTAGGCTTTATGTTCCTTGTAAGCATGCTCAGGTTTAACTGTTTGATAGAGAAATTCTTCATAAGTAGGTCTCGATTTATGTTATTCGGATTCGGGATTGAATATCGAATGTCTGCAGATGTATCTAACATTAGAATGCTCAATATTTCATATATTTAAACGATCATAACTTCGTCTATGTTTCGTGCCGGACAAAACCCGAATACTTGAATAAAAATGATGAGTCTGAGTATCTTCTGACAGGATCCGATGGGTTTCGACCTAATCCGATATGACAGGATCATATTTTTTTAAGAAAAATATGAGTTTGAGTTGGGTCGGGTCGGGTCGAAAGGGGTGAAGTCAGGTCAGTTTCGATTTCGGATAGAAGGTGAAGAAACTCCAACCCAACCCAAGGAAAATAACATGATTTCTTTAAAAAATTTATTATTATTTATAATTAAGTCCTTATTTTATATCAGGTCGGGTGGAGGATATATATTTTTAGGCCGGGTCGGGTCAGATGGAGGATATATAATTTTCGAGTTGGATCGAATTCAGATGGAGGATATAATTTTCAGGTCGAGTTAACCAAAAATTTGATCCTAACTCGACCCGTTGCCATCCCTGTGTGTCATCGACTCTTTTTATAAGAATTTTTTTTAATAGTAAGAAGTGATTATAAAATAATATCTCTTCAGAATATTCTTAACATAATAATGCATACATTCTTTATAAATACAACTGTTCGAACTCAACATCTCTCAGAAAATAACATTCTTTTTAATTACTAAGACCACTTATAAATTTTGAAAACCGATTGTTTAAATTAATAAAACGTAAAAAGAATAATAATTTAATTACACAAATAAAAATAATTACTTTGAAGAACACACACGCACACATGCACACGTACATCATACAAGTGACTCCGATCTCTACAAATCGAATATCCTGTTATTTTGACAAGGTAAAGTTTAAGGACGATAGCATACTTTCGAATGAAAATACATTTGTTGAAGACGTGAGAGTGATGCATCTTCTTCATCGGAGAGAAGACTATCGACCGGCTTCATACCCTAGAAATCGGAACAACTTTGCACTGTCGAGGCAAAGCGAGGTCGAGATATGATCTACCGACCCTCCAAATCTGTAACAGACACATAACTACATGTCTGATACTCAGACTCGAATAAGATAACCATTTCTTTCTCATGCAAGTTAAAAGGGTGAATCAGATCACCTGCAAATGTTCAAGATTTTGTACGTTGCAACAATCAAGGACTGGATAAGCAAAGAACAAGACACATATCGGATACTCCATTAATATTTCAGCATTAGTCCATTTCCGAATAGACTGATTTATTACAAAAGTTTTGAAGTATACTAACCAACGCTACGGGTGTTCGAAAACAGTATCCGGCATATATCCAAACATGGGTAGGGTATACATAACAGTATCCGATGTACTCGAGTCCGAGCAACGTAAACATCGACCCGAGTCACGGAATGGGATGTATGACAATTTTTCCGGTAACTCTTCCGGTTTCGAGATACGAAAAGGCTTGTGGAGTTTGAGAGAAAGGAAATGTGCCTCTTGGATCGATGACAGGCTTCACTTGTCCATGTTCAAGGAAAGGGTTCAATTTCTCCAGCATAGCTCCACTAGATGTGAGGATGAAACTGAAAGCCGGTTCAGCCAGTTCACCAACCGGTTCAATTGTAACAACTTTACCACCTTCTTTGATCGCCTTCACTGCCCTTTCAGATTGCCCTGTTTTATATTTGCATAAATAAACATGTCTTATTAACTCGAACTCGCTCGAACCGTTGAGCCGAAAGTCATGTACTATATAGTCAGGGATGAACCGAAGGGACGAGCAGAGGCAGTCTCCCCTCCAAAATTTCAAATTCTTCCCTAACATAAGATCCTACATCTGTCTCTGCATATAATATCGGTATTTCGAAATAGTTGAGAGGAAACAAAGGTTTAGAATCATACCAACAGTATCGTATACTACGTCGAACTTCTCCGGCAAATCTTCGAAATTGTCTTTGGTGTAATCAATGGCTAAATCAGCACCCAAGCTCTTTAGCAACTCCAGTTTTGCTGAGCTCGAGGTAGCTGCAACTTTGGATGCTCCAAATACATGCTTAGCTAGCTGATCCATTCAAATTCTATAAGTATAATGCCACGATTTATCGTTGCCAAAAGGCCGAGAAAGATATTCGAAAAATATAATTCCAAATACCAACACTTCAGATTACATTAATGTATGTCATTAACATCATACACAGTTGCCCAAGCTTGGTTTGGCCCAAATCATCACCATATACCAAGTAAGAGATAGGGGTGTAAATGAATAATGTGTTGAATGAATTGCTTGTGAACTATTCGTTTATTAAATTAAATAAACGGGTATGAATAAATTTTTTATGTTCAATTAATAAACGAACGAAAACGAAAAGAGGCGTATTCGGTTCGTTTATGAGCTTTTTCAACGTATTTATTGATTTGTTTACCTAATTCTCCTTTTGCTTTTATTCTTTTATATTGTAAGTATCAGTGAAGTTAGAGACTAAATCGAACACATGATGAACTTTGAGACTAGTGACATAAAACCTAAAGAACTTAAGGAGTAGTAATGTAATTTCACCAAGAAGTTAACATATTAACGAATATATAAATAAACATGTTCGAGAATATTAAACAAACTGAATACGAGCATCTTCAAAAATAAACGAACAAACATAAATATAACTTTTTCCCAAGCCCAATTCATTTACACCCCAACATAAGAGACAATAGCTTTTGATTTGCCCCCCCCAAAGAGGCATTTATTGACTTGCTTATTTGATTATCCTTTTGCTTTTATTCTTTTATATTGTAAATATCGGTGAAGTTAGAAGCTAAATTAAACACGAGATGAACCACAAAACTTAAGAAACTTAAGGATTAATAACATAAGTTCACCAATAAATTAACGTATTGACAAATATATAAACGAACATGTTCAAGAATATTAAACGAAATGAATACAAAACTTAAAAAAAATAAACAAAAACAGATTCATCATTTTCCTAGCCCAGTTCATTTACACCCCAACATAAGAGTAGCTTTTGATCCCCCCAAAAAAAAATAGGCATTCAATCAAACACGTAGACTGCATAAAAAATGAACTTTCAACATAGAGCAAGGTACCTGAATAACCATGGTGCCGACTCCACCGGCACCGCCTAAAACAAGGATGGATTGACCAAAAGATAAGCCGGTTTTGACAAGGCCTTCATAGGCAGTCCCAATGGCTAAGGGAATGGAAGCAGCTTCAACAAAACCCAGATTTGTTGGTTTTAGAGCCAACAGATTCTCTTCAGAAACAGTGAATTCAGCTAAAGTGCCATGTATCTTGGGATGATCCAACCCTTTCTCGTTGATGTTCCCATAGACTTCATCCCCTTCCTTTAAAGCTCTTACTTGGCTGCCCACTTTTACCACCACACCAGCTACATCATATCCTGGAACACTCTGAATCAACCAATAACACATATTATATATTACATAATATATTTAAAATCAAAACGAAAAAATATCATTATATAAAATCAAATCTCTTGAATTAGAATTTCGGTTTAATTTTTATAGTTTGGAGATCAACTCGCCTTTTTTAAAATTATTAATTATTTATTCTTAAAATTTGAGTTTAAATATTTAATAGATTCTTATATATATATATATATATATTAAATTAAGTAGTTTAACTTCACTTAATGTTTGATCTTGATTCCGTGATGCCCATAGCTAAGACATTAAAGAAGATAGAGGTTGGAAAAGGGAAGAGAAGAAGGAAATTTACAGGAAGTGGAGAATCGGAATCGATGAACACGCCAAGCATCCTCTTGAAATCAACTGGATTAAGGGCAGCTGCTACAACTTTGATCAAAACTTGATCCTGTTGCAATTGGGGTACCCCATAGTTTGAGTCAAGTTTCAGAACATCAGCAGGACTCCCATGCTGGGAATAAACCCAAGCCTTCATTGTAGGAGGGATTGAACTGCTCATGCTCTCCATTTTGATGAGCGAAAACAAAGCTTCTCCTGCTGTTTCAATCCCTACCCATTGGCAGACATATATATAGAGAGATGGATCGAACCCATTGGCATATATATAGAGAGATGGACCGAACCCATTGGCATATATATAGAGGACGAATCACGTCGTTCATCAAAATTTAACATTATCATATATTTTAAGTTTCTATTATAATTTTTTATTGAAAATATATTTTTACTTTATTAAAATTTTATAAATTCGTCTGGTCTTAAAATTTTAAAAGTCGGTCCTTAATATAAAATGATACATCCATTCATGTATAGTGAGAGTTTGATCCACTTACACCTAATAAGTTTTACGGGCTTCTAAGATCGTTGGATGAAGGGAAATCAAAGGTTGAGATTAACTCTTTATTTTTTTTGAGTGAATATATTTTCATTTTCTACTGTTAATTTTTTTAATTTTACATTATGTAATTAGATCTTAGCCCTATATATATTAGATGCTATTAGACTATACTAAAATGATTATTTGTCACTAAAATTTTATCGAACTATTACAAAATAATCATTAATTTTTTTGAACTTATTATAATAATATAATGATTATTTTGTAATAATGTGATAAGTTTAATCATCACTTTATAATTTTTAAAAGTTTGATGATGAAAAATAATTATTTAAGAATAATTCAGTGATTTTTAATATATTTTATCCAATAAAAATTGTTTAGCCAATCTCTATATATTTTTTATTTTATAATTTGTGCTTTGATTAGATTTTGTAAGATTAGTCTATATGAGTGGGAGCAGTTGGAGAGTCTCAATCACTAGGGCTGCAAGGAGAATATGCTCTTTTGTGATAAGTTTAAAAATCGTCACTTTATAGTTTTTCAAAATATTGCATTTACTTTTTTCTTTTTACAAAATATTTAGGATTATTCCCACACGTATATATAGACTGTATATAAAGATTGTATAATTATATATTTATTTATTTATTTATACATGCATTGTATTTTATTTTTATTTTTAATTTTCTGACTGTTTGAGTTCTTCCACGAAAGCTGCTCCCAACTTGGTATTGGGAGCAGCCTACTATCCTACTTCCCCCTTATCCCGTTGTATATGAAAATAAAGTCTTTATTCCGTTGCATATGAAAATAAGGTCCTTACCCCATTACATATGAGAATAGGATTTTATTGTTGTTTTTACAAAATATTGCATCGGTGTTTTTATTTTTCAAAATATAGCAAAAGCTACAATAATTTTAAAGATTGATTGAAAGCATGGCGTCTTCACTATTTCAAGTAATTTTTTGAATTAAAAAATTGAAGGTTACACGAATTCTTGGCGTCTTCACTGTTCATGAATATTTTGGATTAAAAATTTTGGACCGTTCCCAATTAAATTTTTTTGAACCCCTTGCTTACCCGACGTCTTCACTGTTACCAGGTAGGGGGAAGCAGTGATGCAGCGTAGGAGAGAGGTGTTCTTCAGTTAACTGACTGAGCTGAATTATCTAAATTTCATTAATCGAAAATTTTTCTCATTAATTATTAATCGAATCGAATTAAGTTTGGTTAATCGAATTAATCGAAATTTATTAATAATATATAAATAATATATATTAAATATTTAATTTTTTTGGTTTATTCGGTTAAATTGGTCGGTTAATTAGGTAAAAACCTAGTTCGAACACCCCTAAAACTAAATAATATATATATAATATTAAATATTTAATAATTTCGATTAATTCGGTTAATTAATCGATTTCGAACTGAATTAATCGAAACTGAAATTTGAAAAAAACTATTAATAATTAACCGATTGAACCCAAAATTAACCAATCGAAATTTTGGTTCGATTGTTTAATTCGGTTTTAACCGAAAAGTGAACACCCCTATGGTAGGAGAGCAGTGATACAGGCGTAGGGGAGCGGTGATGCAGGCCGGGGTAGGCTTTTTTGTGTAATATAATTACATGCATTGCATGAATGTGAATGATCAGAATCTGGGTTTTTTTTCCAAAATTTTAATTGCTGTAATATTGTTTTGTTTTGTTTTTTTTCAAAATCATTGCATGCGATTTTGGGTGTAAATTTTTTCCCATTATATATAGGGTAGGTGATAACTAAAGTGAAGAGAAGAGAAAGGAGAGGAGAAGAAAATAAGGAAGAAAAAATCATATTCAATTTGAAGATATTTTTTTAATAGTTTTTTAATATGTTATTGTAGATGATTTTTGGTTTGTTGTTGATGTTTAAATCAATTAGTTAATTTATATTATTTTTAGATAAAATTGTTCTTGTTTTTTTAATTATTGGTATCTGATCTATTGACCGACTAATCCAGTTCGGGTACTATAGAGGCGATGGCAACCCTCCTAAGCCAGGATTCAAATCCCTCACCTTGCTTAAGGGACCTGAACTTGTTTAAATTAATGTTTAGATTAATTGTTGAAACCCCTGACCAGGATTCAAAAGTCAGGATTTAAACACCTGAACTTGTTTAAATTAATATTTAGATTAATTATTTTATGTCATTTTATTTTTATTATTATAAATATATGTTAATTATTACTAATATTCTATGAAAGTTGTTAGAAGGATGACATATCAAATTCCTCTGTTGAGATTACAAAATGCACACATCACTAGTCTTACGTCAATTATTATAAAATAAATAATGTAGTTTTATGTCTGACATGACCTTATTTGAGGTTTTTTGATAATTCATTGTAAGATATTGTAGAATCATTTCGACATTGAGGAATGAAGAATAATGAACCACACGATCTCATTATTTCATTCTTGGATATGGCAGAATTTTATTATGCCACATTTATTCGTGACTACAAACTAATCCCTGGATTGATTACTACATTAATTGAAAGGTGGAGATCGGAAACTCATACTTTTCATTTGCCATGCGGAGAATGCACCATTACTCTAGAAGACGTTGTTATGCAAATCAGGGTCTCAATAAATGGAAAACCATTGATTGGTCATATTGATCTCAATGCTCAGCAACTTTGCTTAAAATATCTTGAGAAGGTGTCAAATGAGAAAGATATAAAAGGTTTTCGTATAAAAATAACTTGATTGGAGAAAGAATTTCAGTCAATGCAATATTAAATAGATTAGAAAATTTGGAAAATTCAGTCAACATGTATCATAATATTAAATTATTTTGAAAATCATTTAAATTAATTTATTTTTTAACTTTCGGAAATTTCCAACATACATTTTACAGCAATGCTAAATTGAAGCCTATATTTATAGGAATTCAAATACAATTGCATTGCATCCATGATTTTGCTACACATAATCCAAAGTCCTGGTTCACCGGATTCTTTAGAACCCTAAACATCAGAGGAATCGATCTCGATGCCGATGCCAATGCCTCTGTTAATTTCTGGGTGTTCGGTAAAGCATTGGTCGACTTTCGATTACATGCTGTAAGTTGGTCAGAATCTATCATACATTCCGAACCCGCAAATCCCGGACAACATGCTTAGGACCCCGTGAAGAACTCATGTGCTTCCTGGTAGCGATCTAATACAACATTATAGAGGGGGTGGATTGGTTCCAGGAGATTCGAATACGGACCTAACACGGCACGAGGCAACGGCGGAGCATCCTCGTCTTCAGACCAGCTACGTTGACACACAGAAAGGCCGCTTAAACAGTAACATGTGTGGTAATGGTCTCTAGACTTACCGGGTTTGTCTCTCAGTCCACCATTCAGGTCCTGATTTCACAACAGCAAGTTGATTCCATGTCCAAGGACGTGAGTTTTGATAAATTAGAAAGGGGGAAAATATGCCATAAAGTCCTTCAATGAAGTTTCGGATTTAGTCCCTGCACTTGAAGAGTTAACATTAAATTTGTTTACTTTTTTAATCCAAAAATCATAGTCCAATCGTTGACAAAATTTTTACAAACTCAGTGTAAATATACCAACTTTGGAAGGAAATCATTACAAACAGGATATCATAACGCAATTTTTTTACAAAAATACTAACGATGTCGACGATTGGACTGGAATTTTTAAATGAAAAAAATAAGAGGATTTCAGTTTTACCTTTTTAAGTAAAGGGACTAAATCTCAAAGTTCTCCAAAATACAAGAACTAATGACATATTTTGACCACCACTTAGAAACCTTAATTGAATCAAATTATGTTTGAACAACGAACCTGTGAGCATAAAAGAATGTATTGCTGCAAGGCCAAGCTGTTAAAAAGAGGATCCACTTTTGCATGCCCCTTACTAGAATTATGACTGATATCGTCAACATTAACTCGGGACGAAGTATCATGGTGATCTGCCAAATATAGATGAATAAAAAACGATATTAAAATACAGATTTCATGAATTGCAAGGAATACAGGAAAAAGTGAAGCACACCTCCTTTCTCGGAATGGCTGCCACCTTGAGATAAATCCTTGTTCGAACTTTCTTCTGTAGCATCTGATGATGCGGTACTATCTTCTCCATCTCCCAATGGTATTGATCTTTCTCCTTTAGTAGAATTTAATCTTTTTATTAACGCAAATATTCCTCCCTGGTCAATTCCCTCGGTTATATTTATTTCAACTAGTTCAAAACCTGAATGAGATCTAATAAAAATAGAATGTCACCTGCCAGAAGGAGTAACAACCATCAACCAGTTTGTTAGTTCTTCCCTGAAATCCACCCTCTACTCCTTGTCGAAAAACCACCCAATCCTACACAGGAAAATGTTATCATTGTTTGTTTGAAGAAAGGTAATTAACTTAAGGAAATACAGTGACATGGTCTTACAATTAAGCTAGACAAATCCAGACGATTGACCTCATTGATTAGAATCATTGTAGCCAACCCACAAAAGGTGTACCTGACAAAGAAATTAACAGAACTTTAGGAGGTCTTCTCATACGGGAGACTGACAATTACAAAGCAACATGTAAAATGGTATCCATGAAGAAGTAAACAAAGAATCAAATTTCAAGGAAAGGTATGGAATTTATAATTTAAGAGAACAGGTGAGAAGAGAGCAGAACATACCCCCCATGAGCTTCAGAACCAGGTTCCCCGGAAATGCCACCT